CCAAAAAGTAAAAGAAAGAATATATTCACACAAACTATTGCAAAGTTTGCAGGTGGTTGTGTAATCATCACTCTCTGGAGGCTTTAAAAAATAAACAGATCATACACACACACACACACACATCTTTAGGATTAAGGCAATTCCCATGAAATGTTATAATTCCTTTATAGTAGGTTGAATGGAAGTTGTTGGTGGAAAGAAAAATAAAAGATATTTTATCAGCTATCTTTTTGTTTGTTTGTTTTTAAAGATATATTTATGCGTACAAGAGCTGAGGTGCAGGCCAGAGGTGCAGGGGGTGAGAGGATTCACCAATGACAGAAAGGGGAGCAGAACAGGTGGATCTACTGAAATACACTGCTTAGGGGAGGAGAGGGTGAGACAGGAGAGGTCTGCTGTGCCATGTGGGTCAGATCCCTGGCCGGGGATAGAACTCGTGTTGTAGTGGCTGCTGATAGATTCATAGTGCTGAGGCTTAACCCCATATGTCTCCAGGGAGTACACTTATCAGCTATTTTGTTAGCTATCATATTTAAATATTTAATCTTTCTTTTCCCAGAGCTTGTAGATATTTTTCCCTAATTATTATTCTATTGTTTACATAACATGTCACTGCAGTTGCAATTAAATATGATGCTCTCTTATTCTTCTCTTTTTTCTTTATTAAAAATAATAACCACCTTAATCCTGTGATGAGAGCCTTTCTGGAAATATGGTGAGAATGAGGAGACCTTAAGAATATTGTAGCATGAAGGGTACAAAATCTGTCATCAAGCTTTCACCAGGCCCTGCACAAAAAATTCCTTGCCAGGAGACATCTAGAGAGAAAACAAAGTCATAAAACAGAGATATCTAACTTTCAGATATTCATCTTAGGTAACTCCACAGCAGATTTAAGAAACTACCCTCTACTCCCATGACCCAGAAGAGAGGCAGTAAAATTGGAGTCAATAGTTCTTTTTTTTTTTTTTTTTTTTTTTTTTTTTTATAGAGGCATGCTTTATTTATTTGTTGGCTGGTTTGTTTGTTTTGTTTATACATGCACTGGGTACAGTCAGAAGCGCGGGAGGGTGAGAGAATTCACCAGAGCCAGAGCGGGGAGCAGAGCAGGCAGAAGGACCGAAGTACACTGCTGAGGGGAGCAGCGGGCGGCAGGAGAAGTCTGCACGCCATGTGGGACCCTCCTCCGGTGGCCGGGGAGCAGCCGGGGATCGAACCGGCGCCGCAGAGGCCGCGGGCAGCTTCGCAACCCAGCGCTCAACCGCTGCGCCACCGGGGAGGCCCTGGAGTCAATAGTTCTTATTATCATTCCACTAGCCCTATCTTGGGAAGAGAATATTTCCAAGAAAGTATGTTCAATTCTGGAAATGCTAATGGGTTGGCAACGTTCCCCCAAGTCTTTCCAGCTTGAAGGAAGAAGTGAGGGCAGAGTGCAGCAAGTTACTGGGAATACTTATATTTTCTAAGTCCTCCAAATTGCTTACCTACTAATCCCCAGTGCTTTACTTTCCTGTGAAACAAGTCCCATTCCTGGGAATATGAAATTAGTTTAATGGATAAGGTGATGCTATGACCTGTATGTATATGTAAAACTCAAATACATGCTTGCCCCAAATCAAACATTTGTTTTCCAACTAGTAAAGAGGAAGTAGATTCAGATTCAATTTCTTTAGGGACGAGATCATGCTGAGAGGCAAATGAATGGCCACTGTGGGGAATTTGTTTCTCGTGCTGAAAAAGCAAAGGCTAATAATAATTGAGGTTTATTTGCAAAATGCACAGCTTTACAATAATCATATGATACCTAGTAATTTTGAAATTGAGGTAAAAAAAGGAAGCACTTCAGAGCCGGAATTATGAAAATCAAGAAGTTGCTTAAAATATTTGAGAGTGAGCTTAGAGAATCAAATGCCATATGCTTTATTTGCTTCTGAAGAAAAATCGTGTTTTCTGTTGGAACAAATTGCACACACAGGTGTTTGATACAGGGTTTATAAGCTATCAAGAGGAGCCAGAATGTTTGGGGTTGTGGTAGGAGGTGTTAATTTGTGGAAGGTGGTATGGGGGGAGGATAGAGAGAACAGAACAGAATGAATAAAAAAAAAAAAAAAAGTAAGTTTCTAAGCCATATTTGCAAACTGGGTGGAGTTGTTACAATTAAAATTTACCATCTGAATGCAAACCCACCTTGATTTATGCAGTCAAACTAGGACTCAAATTCTCAACTACTTTGCTTATGAGTCTCTGGTATAAGAGAAATAATATGAATAACATATATTTGCGTGTTCTGTATCTATTTCTGGCTATTAATATGGAAACTCTACTAAGGCTTTGTGAATAATTTCTCTTCCCTTCACAGACTCCAATGGAATAATGTATCACAATGTTATCGATGAGAAAACCGAGACTGATTTCAGCTAACAACATTATGTGTGGCTATAGTGACACACATTGCTTCTCATACTAACAGATGCTGATACATGAGAGCATTATTGCCTGATACATAAGGCACCAATATAACAATCTCTATGGGAAATATACAATACTGTCTTTGAGGTAGTCTATAATGAAATATCACTAATGCAAATGGTCCATAAAATAGGGTAGAAAGTTTGACATTTCAGATTCATGGCTCCAGTATAGAAAAACCAAAACAAAATCCAAAAACTATTAACTGGAGAGAATGAGCTCACTCCACATATTTTATGACGCTAACTTGATTTTTCTTACTGGTATGTAAACTCTCATGGTTTAATCTATTCAATAGTAAAACATCTAGATGTAAAGAATACTTTTAGCTGTACTTAATAATATATTTTGTATGAGTAGGTTGCTTAAAACCTTCAGACTGATCATTTTTGGGAGATACTCTCCAAATTAGTCTCTATGAAATAGTGTGTGTGTCTTTCATTAATCTTGCACTAGTCTCTCTTTCAAGAAGGGAGGTTTCAGAAATAAAATTATTTAGAAGTGAAAGTAAATCTTTTAAAAGCTCAGAAAACATTTCAAAAACACATTCAAAGTAGATAACTATTATAATAATAGCTGACTATAGTGTATATCAAGGAATACCTGCAAAACCCAATATTAATCATTTTAATTCTCACAATTATTTTACTTAGAACAAGTTTCCTTAATTCTAAACCAAATTTATTATTCTTGAATATAGAATATTTATGTATTAGTTATTTCTCCCTGAATTAATTTTTAAATTATAAAGGGAATTTCCACTGCTTTATTTTCTGAAACTAAATATAAAAACTTGTATTTTGTGTTTTAGTAAAAATAAACTGAAACCAATTGAAGTAATAATGATTGAACTTTAGAAATCATTGAGAATTTAATTAATAGCAAATAGAGGATGTTAAAATTCTAAGGGGAAAAAAAAAACACTTCTGCCAGTTGAAACCTACATCATACAATAGTCAATGTCATGAAGCTCAATATAAAAAATAAATCTTTCTCTTCAGTGTATTCAATAAAAAATCATTGGTGGTTTTGGAAAAGAAGAACTTTCAATTGGTTTGAATAATCTGAAAATATTGTGTTTGGTAAATATAATTTGACTTACAGTCCATCCACTTTTCATAGACTTATAATTCTAGGATTCAGATGAATGATTAAAAAGCATTAAGGTAAATAATATGCTATTTTAAACCTGATTTATTAGTGATACTTGAATCTTGAGCAAACCACAGACTATATTTTTTGTTTTGCTTGTAACTACTTGAAAATATGTGTGGAGGTAGAACAAAAAAGGGGGGTGAATTGTAGTGATTTGTTATTGGTGATTTCCCAAACTGGATGACTCAATAGCATATAACCAGCCCAATCTGTACCGATTTTACAAACATAAGGGCTGCTGATAATTATGGCATATATAGCTCAGTACTGAAAAAAGATTTTTAAAAAAATATATTCCCTGTGCTATTATCTTTGCTTTTTTTCCAGTGTTTTATTTACTCCAGTGCAAAAGGCTAGCTACTTTATCCTTCTCAGATTGTGACTTTATTTATAAGATTTAAAAACATAGTTGAAAAAGGCAAGGGGAAATTGCTGAATCTGGATAATTTGGCAATGATATAGAGTAACAAAACATAAGCATTTAAAGGACGCAGAAATAGCTCTTGTGCCTCTTAACAAGATCCTCTGTTTGAGGATAATTGAAGTAGGGTCATCATGAATTACTACCTTGCTCATCTTATTTTTTACTAAGGATTAACTCTAATGTGGAAGGAGAGGGAAGTTGGGGGAGATTTCCTCTTTTCTAAAATTGTCCTCTCACATTACCAGTAATAGGCATACATTTCTTCATTAGTATTGGTTGCTACTTTTGATTATTTATAATGACAGTCTTAAGTATACACCTTTAAAGCAATAATTACTTCTAAATTTAATGTGGTCAATGTTTGTTTTAATTTTGGTACTAAGTAGGCCTCCTATCTTTTTGTTTTGTTATTTGCTTTTTGAGAAAATCATATAGTAAACATCAAAGATAAAGACTTTGACAACCTTGCTCCAGTTCATATGATCTTTGTTACTAAATATTAAAGTACATTCCAATAATAGATGTACATTAATAAAGAAAACAGATTTCACTTAAAAAATCAAAATTAAATAACATGGTAATATAAATGTACTAAATTTTCCCTCAAAAGTTAAGTGCTAATAAAAATAAACATGGATGTATAATTAAAAATTATAACACATTCAATAATTGTATTAGCTTGTTGGACATTTTCCTCTTGTTATCTTCAGGAAGATTTGTGGAATACTCAAGTTTACATATCTCCACAATCTGTAATTAACTTGATGGATTTTCTTTTTCTACTATTGGTTAAAATAACTTGAAATTTTGGAAGAGGGTTTTCTACCTCTCCTTTACTGGCAATTATTTTCTGGATGCAGATAAACTATTTATATAAAGTTCACATATATATTACACACTGAAAAATCATGGCACATTAGCTATGGTACTTAAATTAAAAAGTAAAACTTACAATGTTCAATGCGAGATTAAGTCATATAATTGTCAGCCAATATCCATGTTCCAACATTCTCAAAGAATAACTGATAATTAAGGTAATTATGAATGAAGGCAGTAACTTTCCCAAAGTAATACCATTTCCAAATGGTATTAAACTGTGGATTTTAGCCAAAAGAGTAGAAACCAGATCAATATGGGGTCATTTTTGACTGACTCAATGTAACAACACTGAGATGTGTTGGTGTTGGCATTATGACATCACCACTCTCTTGGGACAAATCATTTGGCATGCAGGTGGCAAAGTTAGACTGATGTCATCGGAAAATGGCTAACCCATACAAACCTACTTTTTCAGGGTCTGCAATTGCATTTTCTGTTCATCCTCACCAGTGGAGTAAGGGATCTGTGCTAGTTTTACAATATTAAGTTCAAGGTATTATAGGCAATCTAATGTCAAACCTTCAACTTGGCAATGAATACATCTTTCAGTTATTAATTAAAACTTTAAACACCCATTGAACCAAAGTATTATGGAAGAGCTTAATAGTCAATATATGTAAATTGCCATTATTTTTCTGGCATCTATTAAATAGAACAACTTCTTTCCTTCTTTCTATTCTTCCTCTGGACTATGTAGTATCAAAATATAAGGACATAAACAGATAAAATATGGAAATGATTGTATACATTTACATAGAATAATTTTCTTCTATGTGACTTCATGCTTTGGGGTATATATATTACAATTATAAAGGTATAGGTGTACAAGTTAACGGAAAATTACTATTTTTTCTGAAACTTTTTTCATGTGTATCTAAAGGTAAAACCACCAAATTTGAAAATTGTCTTTAAGACCAGTATGAACTTTGATTCAGAGGTGGTTGGGTAATGCCAGACCCAAATATGTGACATGTGGTTATTGAAGTTCCAAACCTAATGCAAAGGTGATTTGATGTTCCTGAATTTGCCTGCATTCTGGATATTGTGGATACTCAATGCAGCAAGGCATGCAACTTGAAATCTAAAAGGAAGAATAAATTACATAACTGATTAATACTAATGTTTGTTTAGTAATTATCTGTAAGTTTTCAAGGAAATGTTGCTGTTATTCATTCAAAGTGAAAACACAGATGGACAGGCCTTTGCTGCAACAAAATCCATGTTCAGATGAAATTTATTTTTTAAAGCAGAGTGCTAAACATATTAAGGAAAGGATGGTAATCTCTAACCAAAAAATGTAGGGGATTTTCTGTAGGGAATTGGTTTGTTCTGAGTTGGGTAAGTTATCAAAGGCAGAAAAAAAGCTGACAGTCTATTTGTAGCCGTCATTTAAAATTCATGCCATTTCCTTCTCACAGTCACTCATAAAAAACACCACTCACTGTGCAAGGTTCTACAAGTAAAAGTTCTTCCATTTGGATGGCCTTAAGAGAGCCTTGCAATGACAGATGGTTTGGTTAATTACAAAATTAAACTTTATGCTATTGAGACATGATTTCAGTGAATAATATTTTCCAGACAGAGTTTAATAAGCAGCTTGCGGTTGAGTAGCCTTTTACCCAAAAAAGGGAACCAGGTTTCTGTGACTACCTTCTACATTCAGAGAGCATGAGGGTAGAGGATGTTAAGTTGACCATCCTAAAAACTGAGTTCCAGTAACCTTATCAGAGTCTAACACAGTGACCCCACCCAAAACATTGTGAAAGAAAGACTGTTGAAATAGCACCTGGTATTTCACCCTGAACTCCCGTAACACTTGCTGATTCATTGACCACAGTGAGGGGAAAGTACATTGGCTGTTCAGCTGGTCTTCCTGGGTGAGTCCTGCTCATAAACATGGAGTCATTGAGAAATCACAGGTTTAACATTCAGAGAGAGAAACTTTGATTTTTTTCCCCTGTAATGTGGCAAATCAAATCGACTTTCTAAATGTTGAAATTTGCAAAGATGAAAACTAGAAATGTAGAAGAGAATGTATAAGAGGAATGCCTTTTCAAAGGAATGTCAAAAGCATCAAGAATCCTTTTACTGTTGTTTATGCATTTCTCGCTAAAGAAAACAGTTGGGGTAAAAAAAAAAAAAATCTGCTCTGATCAGAAGTTTGATTTTTGGTGAACCAATTTTCTCCAGGTAGTTTGAGAATATTCTGCTGGACAATGCTCAACTAACTTGAAAGAATTAAAGAGAAGAGATTTCATGCTGAGACTGACTACCAATTTTGACATTTTTGTTTAGAAATAACACCTGACTTGAGGAGAAAAAGTCACAACTTGCTTGGCTCTGTAAAAAATTAGAAAATTAGTGATAGATACAATGTCTATGAGATTTTTGAATCTTTTCTTTTGTAGGTGTATTTGGAAATTAGCTACACACACACACACATACACACACACTGTAATGTGTTGCTTGTTCTTCATGAAACATACAAACAAAAGGATAGCAAACTGACTTTTCCTCCACTAATTTGAAGACTACCTTTGCTAAGTAAGTCAAAAGCCTGGAAAAATTCAGAAGTAACTGGATGATAAATTAACTGTTACCCAGGAAAAATATAAATAATTATTCTATCATGAAAAATTTCTTGTGCTAGTCCCTTAATCATATGATCATGTATTTTTGATCTTTATATCACTACATGATATAGCATCACCTATAGAATATATTTAATTACAAAATTTAAATCAGTAAATTACTAGATTCAGATTTTTCAGAATAACTATTAAATTGTAATTCAATAAATATTCGCTTCTTCATAAAATATTATTTAGCTAATAGAATCATCAGATAACATTTGTGCTCCCTGAATTTTGAAGCTTATTCATTTTTGAAGTTTACTTATTTTCAATGGTTATAACACAGACTGAGGTTGAATAACCGAGGGGCAGAACTGGAATAAATAAGTGGCAAAATTTAGTAGAAAAACATTGCAAATGTATGGAAGCTACAATGTCAATGATTTTTTATAAAAGTTATACAAGTGGGAAAGAAGTTGAGAAAAGTTATTCAACATTTATTTTGTCTCCTTATATACACTGTATAGTGTTGCATTTCACTGTAATGAAAGATCAGGTCAACTGTTATATATTTCAGAATTAATGGTAATATACCTAGTCTTCCTTCGTGCCAGTAAGTTTAATTTTTAAAATCAACCCTTTCTGATGTGAAATGTAATAAAACACACACACACACACACACACACATTTTGAGCATATTGACAAGATGTACACATATATAACCATCAAAATTAATATACTCTTTCCATTAACTCAGAAAGTTCCTTTGTGTTCCAAAGTCAACCCCTTCCTCTGAATAAATCCCAGGAGACTTACTGATTATCTTCTTTTTCAGCATATTAGTTTGCTTCATTTAGAATTTTGCATCACTGCTATTGTACAATATGTACGATTCAATGTCTGACTAATTTCCCTCAGCAGAGTGGCTTTGAGATCCATCCACTTTGTGCATCAGCAGGTCCCTCTTTCTTTTCCTTGAGTTGCAATAAATTCCATTTTATTCCATTGTATAAATTTGATATTGTTTTTAAATCCACTCATCTGTTGATAGACATTTGGTTTGTACCTAGTTTGTGACTGCTATGAATAAATCTTCTTTGCAAATTTATTTACAAGATTATTTAGTGCATGGATATATTTTATATTTATCTTACATAAATACCCAGAAGTGGAACTACTACGTCAAATGAAAAGCATAGTTTAATATTATAAGAAATTGACAACTTTCCAAAATATATGAACTTTCCATACATCCCTTGAGTCCAACAGAAATGCATGCATTTTCCAGTTGCTCCACATCTTCATTATTACTTGATTGTCAGGATTTCAACTTTTTCAGCTTTGTTTTATTTGCTTATTTATCTTTGTTTGCATATCAGTTTCTCATTGGTTTTTAATTTTGCAAATACTTGATGACTAATAATGTTGAACCCATTTCTGTGTGCTTATTGATCATTTGTATTTTTTCTTTTGTCTTTTAAATAATATACTTTGCATATCTTATATACTCTGAATACAAAATTTGTAAGAAATATACAATTTGAACATGTTTCTCTCAGGTAGTAGTTTTCCCTTTCATTTGTTAAAAATATTTTTTGAAGAACAGAATACTTTAATTTTGCTAAGTCCATTTAATAATTTCTTCCTCTAATAATTGAGTTTTTTTAATCAAGTAAATATTTGCTTACCCAAAGGCTGTGAAGAATTGTTTTCCTCCCATGTTTTCTAGCAGAGTTATATAATTGCAGTTTTTACATTTTGTTCTATGGTCCATTTTGGATTAAATTTTGTATATGGATGAAAAGTTAAGATTGACTTTCCACTTGACCATATTCTTGCCTCAGGCCTTCCCTTCAAAAGTCATTTTCTTTCTTGTTTTTCAGACGGTTTGTCCACAAATTCCTAAAATATAAATTATCTGAGTATGTAAGTTCTCCAATGTTAAAAACAACAGAAATTTATTTTTTCAGTTTCAGTATCCAAAAATTGGAAGTCAAGTTATTGGCAAGACCATGCACCCTCTGAAACCTTTAAGGGAGAACCTGCCCATTCTTCTAGCTTCTGGTGGTTTACTTGAAATTCCCAGCTTTTCTTGAATTGAAGCTATGGTACTTCAGTCTCCTCCTTCACTTTCATAGCATTCTCTTTTGTATGTCATTGTCTCTTCTCACAAGGGTAGCAATCCTATTTAATGAAGGGCTTGCCAAACTCCGATACCACCTCAACTGGCCCCAAAGATTACATCTGTAGCAACCCTATTTCCAAATGGGTGTTAGTACTTCAACATATCTTTTAATGAAGATACAACTAAACACGTACACCGACTATAAGATTCTGATGAACAGCTGATGTCCACCAGACTTTAAAAAGCATTCCTCTTTTCGCTATCACTACTTTAAAAATTAACTATTATTGTCATTCATTTCCAGTTCACCTGCATTTCCCCCTTGTCAGTGTTTTAAACATTTTTTTCTTCTACTTCTTCATCGTTGCTTTGTAATTTCCTACTGATTTGCACAGGCACGGATGTTTCTAATCTCAAGGTTAGATTGGCTACTTAAATTCAAAAGTGGTTAAATTACATTCATTCAGGAAAATTTTCATTAGGTATCATTTTGAATAATACTTTTTTTTTTTCAAGTTGTCTCTTTAACTCATCTGGAATTCTGGTAAGATGTGTTTCAAAACTTCTCTTTTCTATTATTTA